ATGTTTATTTTATTTACAAGTTCACTGTTCACATTTTATATTTTAATAGTTGGAGTCAAAACGGAAAACTATATTACGCTCTATCTATATGGTATTGAGCACTGTTTGTGTTTCGTAAACCAAAAACTTATATATATATATATGTATATATATATAAGATATATTCGTAAATAATGTGCTTTACGAAACGCAAAGAGTGCTCAATACCATATAGATAGAGCGTAATATAGTTTTCCGTTTTGACTCCAACTATTAAAATATAAAATGTGAACAGTGAACTTGTAAATAAAATAAACATGCCAGTTTCTCCAAGTTTTTCGGCTATTTCTTGCATCGACTTATCACGCAAATCTCTATTTTTAAAATCGCGACTCCTCACGTCATAAAGGCAAAGGTAATCCGGCCAAGTATCGGCGATTTTGTCTTCCAACAATGCTTCGGACACCACAACGCTACTTGTCGCCATTTTGGTTTGAAAGATTCATGTAGCACGCATGCGTATTGGCATCATATTGTAAGCTGTTTGCTTTTCCTGCCCGCACACTTGAAGATAATCGACACTCGTGTCAAAAATTATTCAACATGTTGAACATTCAGTGCTAATGGCAGGCATGCCGGGAATCTCTCAAAACGTCCCCGCACACCTGAGAAACTTGCTTACGCCAACAGTCACGCGTGACGCTCAGCTCAGCTGATAGCTCTAGTGTGCGGCGGGCTTATATTATGATAAAAAAGTAAGGTCACGAAACTTGAGAAGTTGAATGAAGAGAGGGTTAGTATGATCCTGATAGGTTGGAAAATAAATAAATAGCTAAAATGAAAACACTAGCTAAAAATGCGCGAAAAGTAAAGGCTATATAGCTAAACATGCATGCAGTTTAATTTTTAGCGGAAACATATAACTAGTGATAGCAGTAGCCGCCCTTTATAGCCTGAAAATAGTTGGATGGAAAAAAGGACTATTAGGCTAGGGCATATAGCAATAGCAAGCTGTCCTTTATAGATACAGCAATGAAAATATTTGGACAGAAAAAAATACTTTTATGCTAAGGCATATAGCAATAGCAAGCTGTCCTTTCTAGAAACAGCACTGAAAATGCTTGGATGAAAAAAGTCAAAAAGAAAAGACTTTTAGGCTAAGGCATATAGCAATAGCACGCTGCCCTTACAGAAACAGCGTTGAAAATATTTGGATGGAAAAAAGACTTTTAGGCTAAGGCATATAGCAATAGCACGCTGCCCTTATAGAAACAGCACTAAAAATGTTTGGATGAAAAAAGTCAAAAAGAAAAGACTTTTAGGCTAAGGCATATAACAATAGCTGTCTTTATGCAAACAGTACTGAAACTATAACTATAACTAAATACTTATACTTATTTAGCTATAACTAAATACTTATCCGTTGTATCCATCGGATCCATTTTTTGATAAGTTGTTGTTAAAAAAAAAATGGATCCGATGGATCCAAAGGATGCGATGGATAAATAGATATCTATTTATCCATCGAAAAAAAAATGGATCCGATGGATCCAAAGGATGCGATGGATAAATAGATATCTATTTATCCATCGCATCCTTTGGATCCATCGGATCCATCAGATCCATTTTTTTTTATATAACTAAAATCCATCGGATCCATCAGATCCATCGGATCCATTTTTTTATATAACTAAAATCCATTGGATCCATCGGATCCATCAGATCCATCGGATCCATCAGATCCATTTTTTTTATATAACTAAAATCCATTGGATCCATCGGATCCATCGGATCCATCAGATCCATTTTTTTTATATAACTAAAATCCATTGGATCCATCAGATCCATCGGATCCATTTTTTTTATATAACTAAAATCCATTGGATCCATCAGATCCATTTTTTTTTATATAACTAAATCCATTGGATCCATCGGATCCATCAGATCCATCGGATCCATCAGATCCATTTTTTTTATATAACTAAAATCTATTGGATCCATCGGATCCATCAGATCCATCAGATCCATTTTTTTTTATATAACTAAAATCCATTGGATCCATCGGATCCATCAGATCCATCAGATCCATTTTTTTTATATAACTAAATCCATTGGATCCATCGGATCCATCAGATCCATCGGATCCATCAGATCCATTTTTTTTATATAACTAAAATCCATTGGATCCATCGGATCCATTTTTTTTATATAACTAAAATCTATTGGATCCATCGGATCCATCAGATCCATCGGATCCATCGGATCCATCAGATCCATTTTTTTTTTATATAACTAAAATCCATTGGATCCATCGGATCCATCAGATCCATCGGATCCATCAGATCCATTTTTTTTATATAACTAAAATCCATTGGATCCATCGGATCCATCAGTAACTAAAATCCATTGGATCCATCGGATCCATTTTTTTTTTTATATAACTAAAATCCATTGGATCCATCAGATCCATCGGATCCATTTTTTTTTATATAACTAAAATCCATTGGATCCATCGGATCCATCAGATCCATCGGATCCATTTTTTTATATAACTAAAATCCATTGGATCCATCGGATCCATCAGATCCATCGGATCCATTTTTTTTATATAACTAAAATCCATTGGATCCA